AACATTGAACCGATTTCTTCTTTGTTCTATAAAAATTCTTTAGATTTGTTTGATCAATATTTTTCTAATTCCATGAAAAATTATATAGTCGAAGCTACATTAGAAAATAAACGGCATAGATAGTTTGACGGTATAGGCCATGGATTTTGCTTGAGATTGGGCGTATACAGGTGAGCCTGTCCAGCCTGCAATTGTTTATTGCAGTTTAACACTAACAATTTGAAGTTTGACAAGAAAACGTTATATACGTTTTTTTCATATTTTTTCCCGTATAATCGATTGCCGCAATCAGTTTGTAAAAATATTAACTTTTTTGGTAATTAGTTTAAATAATTTTTTATAAACAATTGCAAATGGCAAAAGAAAAAACATGGGTACTTTTTTTTAACTTATGCTATGAATGGCATTATTAGTTTAGCGCTGTTTCATGCTGTTTTGGCATGGGCCTCAATGGGTTAAACCTAAAACTGCTGTTATTATTTAGAGTTATTATTTATTCAGTGTATTATTTATCAAGCTGTTATTACTATATATATGTATATTGTAATGGGGTGGATTAACTGATGCAACTTGGGTTTATCTAAGAACAATCTCCCACGATGCAGAGCTAACCGCCGCTCCGTTAATCACGTATGAGCATACGTGTATTCGCCTGTACGTTTGATACTTTCGCTTCAATGTTTCCTTTCCAACAGAGTTGAACTCACCTGACTTGTGACACTTGCTTTCTCTTACGGGTGTACGAAGGCTAATGTTTCTTTCCACTATTCCCTAGATGAAAACGGTTTAAAAAAATATCCGGTGACGGATTCGTTAAACCAAAGGGAAACGAAATAACGTAATGCGGCGAATAAAGTCAAAACGTTTATAACAAAAGAAGCTACAGTCTTTGTTGGGCTGAAAGACTTGCCCACGCGTATACGATTTACAATTATATGGGAAGAGAGAGAGAGAGAGAGAAAGAATTCGAAATTCTGCCGCGAAATTTAACGCTCGACGCGAATGCGATAACGGTCGTGTATTACAAAATACTTTCGGAAGTATTTTGTCGCATGGAAAAAGGGAGCTGCACCTACCCTGTGGTGCAATTACGACGATCAGCTGTAATTAATGTCGGCAAGCGATTTATTCTCCTCGGGGAATGCTTCGACGATTCTGCCTTGCTACCGGATCGGTTACTGCGCGTCCAATTCCTCGCTGCTTCTGGCTTAAAATGGCTTTTACCTCGCTCTTTATTGTCGCTCACGCACGTACCAATACCAATAAATTTTTAATAAACTTTCTTCGGTAAACGGCAAAACACAAAAGAAAATTTAGGCGGTTTTCCTGCACAACAGCTGAGGCTTAACTGAAAATTAAACTCGCGCGCGCCCCCTCTCTCTCTTAATCATTCGCTCTAGCATCGCGAGTGCTACCGAATAGCAAACGTATCGATTGATCGAATCAACTACCGTTGCAATATAAATATAGTTATTACTATTCCATAATACATATTATCCTATGTATTATATCTAGTCTTAATTATATGAAATTATTTTTCCTCAACCCGTTTCGACCAAGAATGTCACTCTCAACACACCGAATTTCGGAACGTTATATCTAACTGAACATACGTAAAAAAATTGAAATGGGTATATTCCTGACAACGCAGGTATTGTGGGATTTCTCTTTTTTTATATGGTTCTTTCAAAAATGTTATTTGATTCATTAATTTGTTAATTTTATATATTTCTTTATTGTTATTGTTAATTGCTTTCATTTCTACGAAAAAAATTGATAGTGGTTGTTTTTTTATTCTATGTTTAATGTTAAAAATTCTTATTACATTATGGTTGTAAGATTCTATTTCATTTTTTAGATTATTTACGTTAATTGATGGGTGCATGTTTTTAAGGAAGGCCTGAAAGGTTTGTTTTCTTTATTTTAAAAAGTGTAAAAGTCCATTTTTTTATTTTCCAATTCAGCTACTCTATCAGCGAATACTTTCGAGTTCTTTATTAGAATTTCAATTTCATTTTTGTACAAAATTTTAATCGTGTACTGAGTTTTCGGGACTTTATTAAGAAGATCATTTAGAGAGATAATATTTTGAACACCACTTACGAATATTGGTGGAGAATTTGGTGGTTTTACGGATATCGGTGTTACTGACACTATGTTTTCGATGCTTGTTTCATTTGTTTACTTTACTTCCAATGCTTTAAATTTGTTGCTTACTTCTACAAGTGTATTGCTAGAAGTTTCTAGCCAGGAGTCCTTCATGTCTGATTGTCTTTTTTTTGTTTATTCTTTTTATTTCTGGGTTATCTCTTGTTCTTTTATTATACACAGTATTCCATTCTGTCTTGTAACTTTGACACTTTTTGATTATTTTCAGTCATAACGGCTGGTTTCAAATGTTTTTAACTCGATTTATTAATAGTTTCTCTTTAATTTTACATTAAGTATGAGGCTTATATATAAGATTTCTAACGCGGTTTAGATTCAGTTTCCAAAGAGCACTTCAGTACACGTCTATTTTGAACAAGCACCTTGTTCAGAGATGCAGCGTTTCTCTTTTACCCTATTGTATTAGTAATTAGTAAAGGAGAAAGTGCTATGTGGTCGACGAGCACTAATCTCTGAAATCTAACCACGAGACAACCTCGGCAAAAAAAAGGTACAGGGGTGGCACATATTGTCAGTGTGGTGCCCACACGTGTCGAGCAGATGCAACACTCTGCGATGGCAAGCTGATAACGTCTGGCGCGGCACGACTGACCCAAACACCCGAAACTTTCCCTTAATTTTCTTGGCGACAAAGGAGAGAACTCGTCATCGTTTTTTGATAGGGCGCAGCGAGTTAGTCTGTCGATAACCAGCGAGAGAGTCGCTTCATAATCCTGCTTGGTGAAGTGTTAACTCAGTCTCTTCTCTTGTTCCATCATAGCTACGTTCATTTGATTAGGGCAGTGCGTTAATACTGCGTGTGTGTGTTAAACGAGTGCGTGTAGTGCAAGCCCGTGAAGCGTTGGACTCAGCCCTACGCGGCTGTAGTGGGTCACGCCCTAGCGCGTCTCCGAGAGCGTTACCTCCACGCGGCCGCTGTGCCCAAATTCCACGTGGCGCCGAGGGCTGTCCCCGTCCTCGAGACGTCGAGGTCGCCTTAGGTGGTCACCATAGTGGTGCGCTCTTCCACATTCGCTGCGGCATCATTGTATCTGCGCACATCATCCGAGAGCTCTCTGCGTTCCGTCAATGTATGTGTGCAAGTTTGTTACGTTGTGTGTAATTGAATGAAAATTTGCGATTTAATTATATTATAGTTTGTTCATATATATATAGATTGTATTAACGTTCGTCTTGGGCTTTTTCCCTGCTTACGACTAGGGTTTTTTACGCCCTTGACGAGCGTCAGCGTGGTCCATTTATAATCCGTTAATAAAAATTCTAAATATAATGGAATTTGAAATACCCTTGTCAATTTATTGCACTAATCCTACTTCCTTCTTTATACTGAACTTTCGCGAACTCTCAGCGGATTTAGATAAGTAAAATTTTGATAAAACACACCTGAACGAAAGTAATTTTATTTAAATAAAATTCTCTTTGTTTACGAAGCCCGAGTCATCCTATGAAAAAGTTGAATACAATCCAAATGTTCTGGTAAATGATCTGATCGAGAGGTTTCTTGTAAAAATAACGAAAAATTTCGCATAAAACAAAGAACCAAGCTCGATGGCCTTGCTTGAAAATAAATTCAACTAACAGGAGTTGAAAAAAACTAAATAGTTCTATAAGGAAAAATAAAAAAATAAAAAATAATAGTTATAAGAGCTGAAATATAGACTAAGCTAGTAGAGATATTACGGCATATATATGAGAGATAGAGAGAATAGTCGAGAGAGAGAGAGAAGGCTTCTTCAGTAAAACTCGAAAACTCGAACGATTTTTTGTAAAGGAATTTTCTCGAAATGTTTTATTAGAATTAATTCCCATAAAGCTTACACTCATAATGCGTGTTTAAAAATTATTTGCGAATAAAAATTTTAATGTAGTGTAACGGGGGAGGTTATCTGAAAAATGGGAAATTTATTTAAGAACAAACTCCCACGATGCAGAGCAAACTGCCGCTCTGTTAAACACGTATGATAGTACGTGTATTCGCCTTAACGTCAGATGATTTATCCTAGTTGTCTTCTATCAAACGGAGTTGAACTCACCTTAAGTCACGTGTCTTGTGACACTCGATGAGTTTTAAGTGTGAGCGACTTTACTCCTAATCTTCTTAATCCCCTAGATATAATCGGATTAAAACCTAAGCCTTTTTCAATTACTTAAGCTACTAGGAAAATTAAATGACGAAAACGGCGAATAAATTTAACGGACTTTAATTAATAAAAATCACTACAGTCTTTGTAGGGCCCAAAGACTAACGCACGCGAATAGGATTTTACAATGAATAATGTTCGGTGAGAGAGAGAGAAAGAGAGAGAGAGAAGATAAGAACTAACGCTCGATGCGAATACAAAAAACACTAACACGATTAAACAAAATACCGAATGTTATTTTGTATCGCATATAATGACGGAAGGTGCACCTACCATGCGGTGCAATTACGGTGATCAGCCGTAATTGTTGATGCAAAATATCGACTGCCGCTGCCCCTCGATTAATCAGCTGCGCTACCTCGATCTGTCTTTATCTGCTGCAATCTGCTACTTCTACACCGCTGCTTGCTGCTGCAATACTGTCGTTGCACACACGCACGTAATTGTCCCAAGGAAACTTTATTTTGGCGAAACTAAGTGCGAAACACAAATCAGCGGTAATCTCGCGTGAGCAGTTGAGGCGAAACTGCTTATTTAAAAGATCGCGCGCCCCCTCTCTCTCTTAATTGTTAGAACTAACGCGCGAGAAGCAAAATCGCGAACGGATCGATTAATTAAATCGACTACCGTTGCAGTAGAAAATATATAAGATTTCATAGCAATAATAAGAAAAAAAAATGTATTAATTACATTCATTGCCTTGATTTGGTCAAATAGCTCCTGTATCTCCAATTTGATTCTTGTAAACTTTTGTAAAGGAGTTTCATTTTCATTGTAGTATGAATGCTCCCATTCGCCACTGCTGTAAAAAGTTATCATGGTTTAAATTTACAAAAATCATTTAATAGAGAAAAATTGAATTTTTTGTAATTTAGATCATTTGTAAATGAAATTATATCATTGGAAAAAGTCTAAGTATGTGTATATATTATACAGGGTGTCCCATTTTAAAGGAACCATCCCGAAATTTTCGACGGTTGGCGTTGTACAAAAAAATTGTTCAGACAACAGTTGTTTGGGACAATGGGGGCAACCTTTCTGTGAAATCCGATTTGACCTTGAGATTCATTTTCAAGGTCACTTAAAGGTCAAAGTCATTTTTTGAATAGGAACCTATATTTTTGATCCAGGATTCGGAGAGAGCGGAAAATTCTACGTTCAGATAACGTATTATGTGTGGGGTGCGGTTATGTAGGAGTCAAATATATGATGTTCTTCATCTATGCACAGGGACGATCGGGCAAGAGTAAGGTTAATTGTAATAACCCAATAACTCGATAACCCAAATATAACACAATAATTCAATAACCCGATAACTCCAATAATTCAATAACCCGATAACTCCAATAATTCAATAACCCGATAACTCCAATAATTCAATAACCCCAATATCCCAAAAAAATTATAGGGTCAAACAACAGTGACCTTGAGCTTAAACTTCAGGTTGATTTTCAAAGTCGACTTCATGTATTCAAAGCCTTCATGAGAAGTGTCATTTTCCATTTTGTGGGATAACATGTTATTTCCATTCTTTTTTCTAGTGGGAATTCGGACAAGCCTACAAAGTTTCAACTAAATTGTTTAATAACACTTCTTTAGTATTGTTTATGACAATAGTGATTCGCGAACAGTCCTACTCAGGATAGTTGAAGTGTAATTTTCTTAGTCGACTTAAAAGGAGGGAATATTCCGGATTATTCGAAAAACGAAATTGTTGATATTCAGCAGGAAAATAAGATATTCGAAACATTCAATTTATCACTATAGTAATGTATCTTTTAGCTTTTAGAGGTAGTTATTTTAGAAATTTTCCGTTAATGTTATCATGCCTGGACTCTTTCTATTTTCAAGGTTAGCGATTGTGTTATTTATTTTTTTTACTTTTACATTTTTTTATGAATAATTATTACCATTATTACCAATGTTTGATTATGTAATTTTTAACAGCGTAACTTCTTCTTTTGTTATATTTCGTTGTAGAGGATTAAATATACTTTAAAAATGCTTAGCAAAAGTGGGTAGCTTTATCGATATTTTTTCTTGTCCATCTCATGTCATTTTTTAAAATAGGAGAAGACTTTTGGGTTGATTAATTGCTTTAATTGCTTTTCAAAATGAATAATCGGATGCCTTGATAGTAGTTAAGTTTTCTAGGTAGTTATTTGTAACCGCGTTATTTTCTTCGTATACAATGTTTTTAAGTTATTTTATTGATCAATTGTATTTCGTTTTATGTGATTGTAATATAATACGTTGTCATGTTTTCCTTAACTTTCTTTTATGTATTATTTTGTCTGAGACTGTTTTTGGGATGAATATTTTAGTTTTTGATTGACCGAGTATTTAGGAGTTGCAATGTTGACGGCTATGGAGATGTTGTTGGTAAAGATTTCTATGGTATCATCTATGTTTTGTTGAAATTTAAGCGGTATATTACAGGTTAGTTTATTGTTTAGTATTTCGTTAAAAGTGTTCCAATTTATTTTTTTTTTCATTATACAGGGAGCTATTCTTTGTATTTGTTTAATTATTGAAGCAAAATTTATTATAATTATGGAATGGTCTTATTAATATTAAACTCTTTTCTAACTATACGAGGGTGGTCCGATAAGTACTTAGCCTACAAAAGAAAAACGAAAATTTTGGAAAAGTGGCGTTTTATTTTTCAACATAGTCTCCTTTTAGTTCGATATACTAGGCCCAGCGATGCTCCAACTTCTTTAACCCGTCTGAAAAATACGTTTCCTCGAGATCTGAAAAGTAGGCTTCCGTGGCAGCGATTACCTCCTCATTCGACTCAAATTTCTGCCCGGCGAGTGACTTTTTCAAGTTTGAAAACAAAAAGAAGTCGCAAGGGGATAAATCTGGAGAATACGGTGGATGGGGCAGCAGTTCGTAGCCTAATTGGACCAATTTGACCATGGCGACGGCAGAGATTAGTAGGGAGATTGCTGACGGCAATGCTTTCGAGCGTGCCCGACAAATGTTACTGGTTCGAGCGCCCCGTAGTGGCCAAAGCACCGAAGCTGACGCACATTTTCGTTCGACGCGAGAGGGGAATACCAAACGTGCGTCTAATATACAGAGGAGAAAAAGAGAATGTGGGTCTGACCAATCACGTTAGCCGATGGGCGAGGCGAAGCAAGAGTGCGAGTCTGAGCACTCGAAGATTAATTTCGTCTCGGCAAATCTTTTTTCTTCGACCAGAATAGAGGCTTCGATTCCCACTCGATGCAATTTTTTTTTATTGTGCATAATTAAATATCTCGAAATATCTTAATTATTACAGCAAATATCTACAACTTAAGCCCCTTTTTTAATCACAAACCCTCGTACATTTCTATGAACATATGTAACTTTCGTACCACACGATCTTAGTGCGCTGATAGCCGAGATGGCTGACGCGTACTGCGGGGTTTCATTTTTGTCGTCCCGGGTTCCAGTCTACATAGATACCATAGATAAAAAATTTTTTTTCTCACAATTAACTCACAATTAATTTGGATGATGACGAGATTAATAAAAAGTACAATCATAAGTTTTCATATTATTTGCCATTTATCCCGTTCTTGCCATTGCATTAAGTGAATGAATATATAACTTTAATAAAAGTTAATTCAACTTTAATAATCTAATATATTATGATATACATCGTAATTTTTATATTTATAATTTTAATATAAATTCTAACTTCATTAAGTATGAAGTTAGACCGACGTCTCGAGTTGGGTACAATTCCTACTCAATGTTATGTTTTTCCTTTGGTTTTAACTTTTTTTTAGATATAATTTATAAAGGTTCTTTCAGAAAATAACACATGTCTATTTATACAGCTCTTATTAATTATCTGGATATAAGGATGTAGTTCCTTTTGACAGGGTATAATCACACAAAAGTGTAAATTTATACTACCGACTGATCTTTCTCAGGTATATAATTGTAATGAGAAATAATATTTATTTCTTGAACGGTTATAATATTTTGATTGGATAGAAAAGTGCGCGGGATTTTGCTAACTATTAAGCCCATTTATATCTATAAAAATTGAATCAACATGCTACATAGATTCAGTTTCTACTGATCTCGGAATGTTCAATTATAAAAATTTTTTTTATGAACAAAAACTAAAATGCGCGTAATTGTTAATAAGTTTTATTGGTCTTTCACAACCATGTGCAGTTTTTAAATAATTTTTCTACGTCAATTTTCATCAATTTTCCGCTCAGTTCCTTCATCCACACTTAGAATTTTCTTTCTTTTTTAAATATACATGACTTTGACATTTATATATTTTCACGATAAAAATAGAATTTTATTTGCCAAAATAATGATAGAGTGCATTGCCTTGCCTAATTTATTTCTTCACAAGTGGCTTGATAAAAGGCAACGTTTAAAAAAAGACTACTAATAAGTATTTGTGTATATATATCATTTAGAAAATGTTTCCTAATACAAATCGAACGTTTGCTCGTCCTCAAATAATCGACAAAAACTTGTAATTATTATTCTTAAAAATACGAGCTCTCTAAGTATATATTCGTATATGTTTGTTTTTTCAAGTTGGAGCCGTGATTCACTAAAGTTTCGTATTCTCGTTGAGTTAAGTGTAATATAACCGTCTAATAACTATTCTAATTTCGGGAAGAAAATCATGTTAAATATATTAACGTTTATAAAATAAACTTTTAGTCTTCTTTTACATGAATGTATTTTCATCAGAACTTATTTAGTCAGGAATGCTTTTAGAAAAGATTTTCTTATCACTTTAGAGCAATCAATAAATCATACTTAAACTTCAGAGTTAATTTTATGTCCAGGGAACACATTTGTACACGTGTTTTGACTTCAAATTTCGAACGTAGAAAGCGTCTGACATTGACGTTAATATTTTAAAGATCACACGTCTTTTTATATATATATATACTTATATATATTTTATATATATATATATTGTAACGGGGTAAAACCGTTTAATTATTATATTCGCGCAATTACACTAAAAGGACGCGCGTAGTTAATTATGTTCAGTACATAAATCGGGGAGCATGTGGAAACGTGCGTCAGTCAACCAGTATGTCCTCTTATCTAAAGAAAGTGAGTGGAAGCTATGAGGTATAAGTGAATCGAAAAGCACTTGTTAGTAATATGAATTAGATCTTTTATTATCCCTCATAATCTACAGAAGGTCGGCCCGCGCGTTTGTTTACATTGACGCTCGCTCGTCGGCAACACGTATTGCTGGGACGCTCGCTGCTCTTTGTTGTTAGAGCCGTTACATGCACGCATCGAATATTAGAAATTGATTATTAATCACGCAACCACGATCGCGAAATTAAGCTGGCCAGCTTACCTTATTATTGCAGGCGATCGGAAGAAGCACAAATAACTCGCACAGAGCGGGACAGTTTCTGTTGTCTATTTCGCGAGTCGCGAGTTCGCGCACGTTATGGTTTCACCCTCGATGGCGAAACCTCACACACACGCACTCGTCCTGGTCTCAAACTGGTAGCTGGATGGCACCTTGGCGGCTACAATCTCGGGTAACTGGCTGCTGCTGTTTTGATGCGTTGACGTTGATGGCTCGTGAATCGGCGATAACGATAGCGAAAGCGGGCAGACACAACGATGGTCTAAGCTTCACTAGTTCGATTTCAATCGCGCGCGTTCCGTCTGCTCGCGTGCCGAATTCCTTCGTTACGTATTTTGTCCCCCCGGTAGGTGCTGCCCTCACAGGCAGCAATTAAGTTAAATAATCAGCGCTAATTTGACGTTTACCGTCACAATATATATATATATATATAT